CTTATAAATCCTCATATACTTACATATCTTGCATCAAATCTGTTTCTCTAATGAGCATTGACTGATACAGATTTGGGTACCAAAAGTGGCTCTAGAGAAACAGAATTGTAAAGATTCAAGTCTTTAATGGCTTTAGTGATTCCTGGCATTTGCTCTCTAATTTGATGAGGCCTAGATGCCACTTATATCTCCTTCTGATGCAGTGGGAAATTCTGATTGTCCTTGGTGTGAACTGTTTAAAGGAAGACACAGTGCAGATCCAGTTGATTATCCTAATTCGCCTCTTGGGTAATGTAAGGAATTTAGCAACTCTGCATAAGTTACTTTTGAATATTTACTAGGTGACTCAAAAAGCTGCTAGTTTTGAGTGGACCCCTAGCAAGAGAAGGCGCTGCAACAGGTCCAGGCTTCTGTGTAGGCTGCTTGGCCACTGGGCCATATGAACCAGATCTAGCAGATTCAATGGTACTTGAACTGTCAGTGGAAAGTAGAGATGCTATTTGGAGTCTCTGGCAGGCCCCCATAGGTGAACTGAAGTGGAGGCCTTTAGGATTTTGGGACAAGGCTCTATCACCATCTGTAAACAGCCACTCTTCCTTTGAAAAATAGCTCTTGGCCTGCTTCTGGCCCTTAGTGGAAACTGAACCCTACAGAACTGACAGCAGTTTACCATGTGACCTGAGTTCCCCATCACTATCCACCAAGTCAAAAAGTTTGACGTGCACAGCTTCGTTAAATGGAAATGGTACATATATGATTGAGCCAGAGCAGGTCCAGAGGACACAAATAAGTTCCATGAAAAAGTTACCCAGATACCCAGGTCTCCCACTCCTAACATATTGCCATCTGTCTCCCGGTGTGCATCTGTGGCTTCATAGAACACACCATATGATCAGCTATCAGAGGAAGAGAAGGCTATGGCCTGGTTTATAGATAGTTCTGCACATTATGCAGGCACCACCCACAGCTGCAGCACAGCTGCAGCATTACAGCCCCTTTCCAGAACATTCATGAAGGACAGTGGTGAAGGGGAAATCTTCACAATGGGCAGAACTTCAGGCAGTGCACCTTGCAGTGCATCTTGCCTAGAAAAAAAATGGCCAGATGCATAACTGTATACTGATTCATGGGCTGTAGCCAATGGCCCGGCTGGATGATCAGGAACTTGGAAGACACATGACCGGAAATCTGGTGACAAAAACTATTTGGGGCCAAGTGTAGTGGTGCATACCTGTAATCCCAGCACTCGGGATGCTGAGGCAGAAGGATCGTTGTGAGTTTGAGACCAGCCTGGCCTACAAAGTGAGCTCAAGGCCAGCCTGAACTGCATAGTGAGACCCTGTCTCAAAAAGACAAAAAAAAAGCTACTTGGGGAAGAGGTGTGTTGATCTTACCAAATAGACAAGAGAAAGAAAAATATTTATATTCCACATACATGCTTACTAAAAAGTGACCTTAGTAGACAAGTACTTTATCAATCAAGTGCATAGTTCTGTAGATAGCAGCCAACCTCTCTCTTCAGCCACCACTGTCATTTCTCAGTGGACTCATGAACAGTGTGGCTACGGTGGCAAGGATAGAGGGGTATTCATGGGGTCACCAACGTGAACTCTTACTCACCAAGGCCGACCTGGCTATAGCCACTGTTGAATGCCCAATATGCCAGCAGTAGAGAGGACCACTGAGTGCCTGATATGTGTCTCACTCAGTACATGTTTTCTGAGAAGCACATATTTTTTCAATACAAATATTTTTCATGTTTGTTTTGTTCCTGTGTCCCAAAAGCATACAGAGCATACAGAGCATACAGAGGAAATGTGGAACTTACATCTGTTGTTTCTCCTTGGAATATAAATCCAGTGCTATGGTTAGGAGCCCCAGATGATTAAAGGGAAATAAAGCACAATTCTGCAGAGGTGAAAGTACAGTTAGAATAACAGAGCTGAAAAAAATCACTGCCTTCCACCCATTTAAATTTAAACAACACCCTAGGGCTAGTCTTCCTTTCTTTGTCCTAAGAGAGGTAGAGAATAACATGACAAGCACATATGTGTTGGATCTCCTGGCCTGATCTTCAGTCATCTTCACCCTACTCAAAACTTAAGAGTTCCTGAATGTATGTCTCATAAATGCAATTGAGATCCGAGTAAATTTGGGACACACATGCATGTTTAGAGCCACTGAGATGACACAGCACCCTGTCAATCACTCTTAGTCGTACCTAGAGCTTAGGGGAAGGCACTTGGGCTGAGGTCCATGTCCTTTAAATTCCAAAACCCTGATTTACCTGTGTACAGCAGTGTGCTGTGTTGTGCGTGTGCAGTGCTTTTTATTTTTCCAACATAGTATCCAAGTATTGTCTCGGCCTCACTTTCCTAGTTATGCCATATTTTTGTTGGTATGGATTTATCTTGAGCACAACTCCCCATCAATTTAAATAAGTGCAGCTGCTTTCCAATTGCCACTGGGTGTGCGCACTTGTAATTCATTGCTCACCATACACAAGAACTTGCTGAATTTATCTCACCATAACAGTGATAGATTATAACAAGGGGGTTTCCCCCATTGTTTGATCTCTGCTCAAACTTAGCTCAAAATTGCCTTCTGGTTGTTGCCTCCCCACTCACTTCAAGCCTGCCCAAATTCTTGGAATCCAGCAGGGGAAAGTGTGTAACAGAAGTGAGACAGATTAGGGCATGGCAAGGCTGACTGGGGAAATAGGTGTGACCTGTTAATTACAAAAGCCCAGATACATGTGCAGAGCAGTTCCCACGTGGGCTTCTCATGAGAACTCTAGCAGGTTTTCCACAGGATGGTTTAGACCTGATGTCAGCCTGAGGAGTGGGTGATACAAAAAGGACAGATCACACTGAGTTTTTGCCCCTGTGTTCGCTTCTTCCATGATGGCCCACTGTACTTTTCCTACTTGTCCTTGGCCTAAACTTGCTAGGTCTACCTTTAATAAAACTTTGCTACCATTTGGACTTATCTTGATGAAGTCTTTGCTCAAGACAGAAAGAACCTAGAAACTACCTCTAGAAGGAGACTCCAGTACTCCAAAACCCACACAAAATCTCAGGGGCCCTTGATCTGGTGTGGTGGCCCACACTTGTAATCTCAACACTTGGGAGGTTCAGGCAGGAGGATTGCTGTGGGTTTGAGGCCAGCCTGGACTACAAAGTGAGTTCAAGGACAGCCTGAACTGCATCGTGAGACACTGTCTCAAAAAAACCTCTGGGGCCCTGATCAATTTCACTCATCTGTGTGAAAACAGTAGAACTAAAGTTAGAGATACAGTGTTCTGAGATTATCAATGGGTTCCTTTGGGCAGAATGTAGCAATATATCCTAAATATTATGTCAGCTCTACACAGTAAAAGTGAATTTATGCAAATAAAACAGAAGAAACTCTGGGGGGTGTGGCTCAGTGGAAGAGTACTTTCCTAGCTGGGTTAGAGCCCCAACACTGCCAATAAATGCCTGAAAGATCAAATGTAGCTGGTTGCCAAAAGGAAAAGAGAACTTTTTTCTTTTAAACAGCATTTATTTGAGAAAACTCATCATAGGAAAAACCTCGTCTCTTCGATTCATTCTCAAGTCACTTAAAGAACTATACAAGTGTCTTGCCAACGTTAAAAATCAAGAATACTTTTCTTAAATTAGCTCTCAGGCAAATCTCGGAGGACAGTAGCACCCCTCTTCCCTGCGGTCTTGGAGTTTTGTACTGGCACCTTGCTCTCCACTGTAGATGCCTGCCTTTCGCCTAAACTTGCTAGGCCTACCTTTAATAAAACTTTGCAACCATTTGGACTTATCTTGACTTATCATACAGATTAGTTTTGCTTTTCCTCTGGATAAAAGTAATGAACCAGCACTGACAATCACCTAATCATTGAGGTGGCTTCTGAAGGAGCCACGTAGAATGCAGAGCCCATGGGAGTCCAGTGCTTTCACCTAGGACGAGTTACCCTTTAACCTGAGACCGGAGACACTTCTTAGTGGTTCACACGTGATTGGCACCAGTCTTGCTTGGTGCTTATTCCACAATGATACTCTTTTCTGCATCGTCTGCATCCTTACGAAAGATTTTTTGAGTTGGCAGTGGTGGCATTATTAATCTTCCCCAACACTACCGCTGCCACCAGGTATGAAGAAACCACTGGGGAAAAACATCGATGTATTATTTCAACTTCAAAAACAAAGTGATTAATCATTGGTTGTGATCTAGATATGCTAAATTGCTTATTCTTTTCATCCTTGGAAAGCATAGCTGGGCATTTGTGACACACCAGTACTGAGGTAACCGTCTGCTAGTATTTCAGGTAAGGGAACAAGATCTATTCTTTCTTTCCCTCCCTCAGAATCTGCGTTCTAACACTAGGGTCTCAGGCCTGCAGAGGACTTGGGCTTCAGGATGCAGCCTCGCAGAGGTTTCCAGACAGCAAGGACTGGAAAGAAATGCAAACTAATGCAGGGCTTTGGAGACCTTTGCTCACATACTAGTGCCCCTCTACTGCTAGACCAGGTAAAAGTCTTTATACGGGTCCTTAATTCCGGTAGTGTTTTGGAAATACCGTCCCAATACTCTTACAGGAACTCGCCGCAGCCCCGCGACGCGAGCTTCCGGTGCGCTTCTGCGCATGTGCACTTCGCCCCTTCAGCGCCTCCACGCATGCGCTCCTTCTGGTTTGCGTTGGCTTCCGGTGAGTCCCAAGTACCCACTCCCGCCTTTGGCCTGCGTGGTCTCTATTCGCGAAGCCTGTGGGGCCGGAGACACAGTGGGGGCGGCACCAGGTAGGCGCTAGCTGTGCGGTCGAGAGTCCGCGCTGCTGGGCGGAGGCTCCAGTGGGACCGGAACCCGAGCGCCAAGTCTTTGGTGGAGACCGGAGCGGCCGGGCGGGCAGGCGGCGGCGCCGCACTTGGCGCTGCGTGCAGCGACCTCGGCGGCCAGGCCGACTCTCTGCGGGACGGTGAGTTCTGGGGGGCAGATTGGGGCCCCGACCTGGGTCCTCGGAAGTAGCGGGGCAGGCGAGGGAACGGAGGCGGCGGGGTCGGCGGGGCCGGCCCCACCCGGAACCCTCGGGGGGCAGCGCGGCCAGGGCGGCGGACCTCGGCCTGAAGGGGTGGGAAGGGGGCGCCACCGCCGGGTGAGGTCGGGAGCGCGTGGGCCGAGGGAGAGTGGAGAGGCTCGCGGGAGGGACGGCGGGTCGAGGGTGCGGGGATGAGGTGTGCTGGGGAGGCGGCGTCCGAGCCGTGGGCATCGGTCTGCAGCCCTCCTGCCGCACCCCAGACCTCTTCCTCCTCCGCTCCCCGCTCCACGTTCTCCCAAGGTGTCTGTGGGTGTCCGTCAGCTCCCAGCTCTGCCGGCGGAGTACCGTCAGGTGTGCCCCTGTAGACTCTGCCCCGCAGGACAGGTCTCTTGTTTCGTTGGTTGGTAGAGGAAGAGGTTGAGCCAGAGCAGGTAGGTTTCCGGGCAGGGTTGCTCTGATAGGACTCAACCTCCCAGGCCGTCCAATGTATTACAGTTTTTACATACAGCAGTCGCCTCTTTCAGTCAGATAATTTAAAAACAAAACCATGTCTATGCACAGGAATCCCACTTTTGAGCGCTGAAGTGCTGAATTGCTATGGCTGCGTCGAGTTTTAAGCAATTTAAAGATACAATACAAAATGTAGGAACCGGGTGGGTGGTAATTCTTTCGTTTTCCTTTCCTGTTCTTTCATTTTTCTTTCCTGTGCTCACTCTCTTGATCCCTCTTTTTTTTTTATCCCTCCCTCCCCTTCCTCCTTCCCTCCCTCTCTCCATTTCTGGCCTGTTTCCCTGCCTTGGTACTAAATGGGGGCCAAATGAGAAAGCAATGTTTATGTTCACCATTGAGATTCCAACCCATCTAAGCAGCGTACGAGTGAGTGCGTTGGTATTAACGGCATGTGCTTCTTCCCTGTCACCCACTTTGCCTCTTGTCCACTAGTTTCCACTGGGTGATTTCATTTGATGGCTCCCTTGCAGGAGATTTCTGCTTGTACCTGCCAGATAACTCCAGACCCCTGTGACTTTCTTTTCTTCCTGAAGGTCCACCAGCAACGGTCATTTACTTTCCCAAGAACAACAGAAAATGTACAGACTGCAGGTAAGTTTTCCTGGCTATGTCTGTTTTCTTCCTGATGCCTTCGTTAAGCATCTCAAGAGCTTTTTAAGATCTGACTTTAAAATGGAAATGCAGGGATAGAAGACTAATATCACGTAGAATGCAGTTTGAGTGGCAGATGAATCTTGAGAATTTTTTAACTAAGGTCTGTCTTTCCTTCATAGACAGCAAAAGGAAAATACAAACTTTGCATTGCTGGGCGTGGTGGCGCACACCTATAATCCCAGCACTCGGGAAGCTGAGGCAGGAGGATCTTTGCGAGTTCTGAGACCAGCCTGAGCTACAGAGTGAGCTCAAGGACAACCTGAACTGCACAGTGAGACCCTGCCTCAAAATGACAAAAAAAAAAAAAAAAAAAAGCGCCAAACTTTGCATTGACTATTGAAGAAACCATTTGCTGGATGGTGGCCTAGGCCAGTAATCTTGTATTCTGGGACGCTGAAGTAGGATTGGGAAGTTCTGGCCTGCCCAGAACCACTTAGCTAGTCCCTTTCTCAAAATAAAAAAGGCTGGGCGTACAGCCCTGTGGGAATTCCCTAGGTTTAATCCCAGTACTCCCTCCCTATCACCGCCCCCTTAAAAAAGGAGAAACCATTTTTATTGCTCTTCTGTTTTAAAAATTTCCTAGAAAAAAATTCTTTGTTGAAGTTGCAAAAATTGTGATAGCTTTGCTGGTATCTAAAATCTATATGGCATCTATATGGCATCCTTGTTGTGAATTTAAGGGTGGGTTATCTGCCCCAGAAGAGTTTGGTACGTATCGTTTTTCCAGTTACCAAAATGTGAACAGAGTATACGTGGTGGGGTCAAAGGGGACAGGATCTCACTATGTAGTGTAGACGGACCTTAAACTCACTGTGTAGCCCAGGTTGGTCTTGAACATCAGGGGACTCTCCTGCTTAAGCCTCGCTAGTAGTGGGACTACAGGCTTACACCACCACACTTGGCTAGTACCATCCTTTTTAAATATACACTTCGTATTTGAAGTTTGGGGTATGATGCTTTTTTTTGTTTGTTTTTTTGGGACAGAGTCTCACTACACAGTTCAAGCTGGTCTTGAGCTCACTTGTAGCCCAGGCTGGTCTCTAACTTGCAATGATCTTCCTGCCTCGACCTCCCAAGTGCTGGGATTACAGGCATGCACTGCCACACGCAGCCCTTTTGTCAGGATACAAATAGTCTATGTTTTGCAGTTAACCATAGTAGCCTGAGTATGTCTCTTACGTCATTATTTTCCTCCCTGACCTTTAATTTTGCTTTGTGAAGTACTGGGAATTGAACCTAAGGCCTTTGCACTGAGCTGCGTCCCCAGCCCCTTTTAGTTTCTGTTTTGATACAAGCTTTCACTAAGTCTCTAGGTTACCTGTGCTGGGATTGAGTTTGCAATCCTCCTGCCTCAGGCTCCCGGAGGATTGGGATTACAGGTCCTACCTACCAGTTATTTTTGAAGAAATTGGAATGTTTATCTTTAGTTTCTCAGTTTGAAATGTATTGCCATCATTTTAACTTTTTTTTTTTTTTTTTTACTTCAGGTATGTCTTATAAAATTGGTTGTCTAGTCTGGAAATTTAATTAGGTTTATGTTCAGTTCCTTTGTCAAGACTGTTGTACATGGTGTTTTTGCACTTCTAGGGGAGCATATTCTCTTTGTGTCTTTGTTTTTACGGATGATTATTGCAGTGATCTTTTGATGCACAGGGGAAGGCAGAATAACAATAGTAGTGGAAGTAATCTACCATTTCTTCTTCATTTACTTGCTGGAATAAATTCCTAAAAGTAAATTCCATTTTGGTTGCATGATTCTCATTGGAAAGATAATTTTTAAAATGTCAAGTAGGATTCTGTTTGTTTATTTTTGAGTTTGTTTTGTTTTGTTTTTTAGAGATAGGGTCTGGCTGTAGCTTAGGCTGGTCTTGAATTCAAAACAGGCCTCCTGCCTCAGCCTCCTGAGTGCTGGGATTATAGGTATATACCACCATGCCCAGCTCAAGTAGGCTTCTTGGGGTTTTTTTGTTATGCATCCAGGAGCTTCAAAATCCTTCTGTCTTGCCATGTAGTGCAAGCTGGCCTTGAACTCGCTTATATAGCACAGGCTGGCTTGGAACTCACAGTGTTCCTCCTGCTCAGCCTCCTTAATGCTGAGATTACAAGCGTGGTGCCGCCATACCCAGCCAGAATCTTTCATGCATCTTAGAACACTGAACTCGTGATTCCTTTTCATATTTAAGTTGTTCCATCTTTGGCCAGGGGAAATCCCTTGCAGTTGGATTCTGAGTCCTTAGAAAATACTTTATATTGTATCTGATAGTACAATTTTTTTTCCAACATTTTGTTTGAAATAGTTTCAGATTTATAAAAAAAGTTGCAAAGTATACACAGAAATCTCATTTTCCTCTTGCCAAGATGCTCCAATTGCCACATTTTCTGTATAAATCACCTGTGTCTGAAAATGTGCGTACATGTACATTTATATTATACATATATTTTTTTTCTGATTTATTGGAGAGAGGATGTTACATATTGTGTTTCTTTACCTGTTATGTTTCAGCTTGTACTTACTACCATCTAGAATATTCTTCTATATATCCATTGCATAGTTACTGAATTCAGGAAGTTTTAAATTGATACAGTACTTGAAACTGTAGTTCATTTTCCAGTTTCTAGTAATTTTCTTTTTTGCTGTCTCTTATCTCTTACAGAAGTCTAGGATTATGAATTGCATTTAGCTGTTACGGTTTTGTTTTGCTTTTTTTTGTTGTTGTTACGGTTTTTTTATGTCTACTTAATGTGAAATAATTTCTCAGTGTTGTTATACTAGTTGAAGAATGTAGATTTTTTTGTGTTGTTGTTATTTGAGACAGGGTCTTGCTGTATAGTCCCAGCAGGCCTCGAACTCAAGGTGATCCTCCTGCCTCAGCCTCTTGACAACTGGGTGTGCACTACGCCTAGCCTTTGGAGAGGTTTTGACCATTATTTCTTTAAATGCCCCTAGTCTGCAACTTCATCTGTTTCTGTTACCTGTATATTAGCCTGCTTGAAATTGTCCTACAGCTCACTGATGGTCTTTGCTTTCAGTTACCTTTTCTTCCAGTTTCATTTAATGTAGCTGCTTTGCAGCATCTTCGTGCTCAGTGATTTTTTTCTTCTCTCTTCTGCATTGGCATCAGTTTTACCCAGTAAATTTTCATCTCAGATATTAGACTTTTTCCTGGGGAAGTTCAATTTGAAACTTTTTCCTTCTTGCCTGAGTCTACTCAAGTATTTTGGACTTAGGGAATACAGTTGGAGATTTTCAGTGTTCTCTGTTAACTGTGTCCATTCTTAACCAATTTCACTTGATTAGTTATTTTCTTCCTTGTAGATAATATTTCCCATCCTATTTTTCCCAAACTCTCAACTGTTTCTCCTCACGTCTATATCTTCTTCATGGCCTTGAAACTCTTGGGCAGTACCTGTGGGGCTAACCTGGTTTTCCATCTCTTACAGGTTACAGTCTTTCACTACCTGATGATTAGTGTTCTTGAAAACCAGTGCTTTGTGTGTGTGTGTGTGTGTGTGTGTGTTGTTCGTCATAATGAAAAGCAGAAGTCTCAAATGTGTCTCAGTTCACAGACTTGTTCCGTGATTTTGGAAAACACAGCCACGTTTGTGTTTGTGTGGGAAAGATGACTGCGGTCAGGTTTGTCACTTGATGTAGAGTTCGCAAACAGAAACAAATTTTGCCAAATGCTTTTATTGTGAAGCACACTGTTGGCAGATAAAAGTGTTCATAAATCAAGGTACCACTGTATTTTATATATGTGAGTCAATCCTTTCCTCGTATCATGGTTATGGAGTCAGTTACCTGTTTTTTTCTGTATGGGTGGACTTTTCACATTTAGATCACTGACCCCTGGGTCCATTCTTTTGTGGTATAAGGAGTTGGTGCAGCTTTGTACCCATTTAGGTGTTTATGTCTTGCTCTTGCAACATTGGTATTAGCTTTGCCTTACAGCAATGACATACCAGAGGCAGCATATTATAAGAGGAAAAGTCTGTTTACCTCACAATTTAGGAAGTTGAAGGGTGTGATGCTGACAACAGCTCTGTTCCTTGCTGTGTCATATCGTGGTAGTGGTGCATGCGTGTGAGAGCTTACATCACCAAACAGGAAGTTAGAGACCCTGGTGTTCCACACTCCCTGTTGTTTTGGTTTGGTCTTCTTTTGTGAGGTAGGGTCTTAGTATGTAGTTGAGGTTGGCCTTGAACTCACTGTAGGCTGGCCCCAAAGTCATTGTGATCCTCCTGCCTCAGCCTCCCTAGTGCTGGGATTATAGGTTATACCACTACACCAGCTCCCACGGTCCCTTTCTTAGGACACACTCCCAGTGATTCAAGAACCCTTCACTAGATCTCGCCTCTGAACAGTGCCACTATCTCCTAATAGTGCTATCCCAGGGACTAAGACTTTAATCCTGGTGGACTCTTGACTGGCACTGAGATGACACCCAAACCACAGCACTATTTACTAAAAGTCAATTCTGCTTCAGTGATTTGACATGTCCTGTCATCATAGAATCCTAAAAGTCTGTTTGTAGATTCACCATGTTGTCTCTGTGTGTGTACCCGTATTGAATTTCTTCCCTTAATTTTGGAGTGAGTGCTGAAATTGAACATAGGGTATGACACATGTAAGTGACTTAGGGTAACTGATGTCTTTGTGTTATTAAATTGATCTACCCAAGAGGAAGGAATGTTACATTTGTTCATGTTTATTTCCATGACTTCGTATATTTTAAGGTTTTCTTGGTAGAGATTTTATACATACTGTGTTAAAAGTTTTATCTTTCAGTTATTGTAAGCCTTGTGTAATTTGAATTATATCTTGTTACTCATATATAGTGAAAGCTACTGGTTTATGTTAATTTTATATCCTATAACCTTAAAAAAATGTTTAATCTTTTTTTTTTTTTTTTTTGGAGACAATGTATCACTATGTAGTGCAGGCTGGCCTTGAACTTTTAGTGATCCTCCTGTCTCAGTCTCCCTAGTACTGGGATTACAGGTGTTCATCACCACGCCAGGCTCTTCAAATTCTTTTGTGGAGTTAGTTTCATCATGAGTTTTCTGAGTTCTATTAACATCAGCAATAGAAACAATAGAAATAGAGCTGACACTAACAATAGAAATAGCTTTTTCTTTTTTCAATCATATTCCTGTAGTTTTTTTCTCATCTTTAGTTAGAGGTGATTTACATGTTACTTCGTTGGGATTTTAGTGAGACTGTGTGTAGTGTTTACCCATTTTCTGACTTCAGAACTGAGAGAACTGAGACATGAGTATGTATGCATGGGTATGTGTAAACTCAGGTATGTACACATCACACATATTGGGCATATTAAGGTGTAGGAAAGTGTACGTATGTGTTTATATGTATATATATATGTGTGTGTGTGTGTATATGTATAGATAGATAGATGCTGAAGTATCCATTAGATTTTACTTTCTTGTGTTCTTTTAAAAATCAAGAGAAAACAAACCAGGGCTGGGGATATAGCTCAGCAGCACAGTGCCTGCCTGGCGAGTGCGAGGTCCTGAGTTTGATTCCTGGTACCAAAAAGAAAAAAACCCAAAACTAAAAATCGGGTATGCTGGGTTGTAGATGGAGCTTAGTGCTAGAGTACTAGCCTCGCATGCACAGGGTTCTAGGTTCAACCCCCCGGTACCATAAAAAAGAGAAAGAAGAATAAAAGGGAAATGTCAGGTATGCATTTTGAATATTACTGTGCTTTTGCAAGTGCTTTGGAAACATAAATTGTTTCCTTCTTACCTGTATCATAATGGGACATTATAGTTTTCTAAATATTAAACTAATCTATATCCTTAAGTCCTGTTTGGTTACTATGCATTCTGTTTTTAGTCTCGTATTGGGCTCTGTTTGCTAGTATTTTATTTGGGCCATTTATATTAACATAAGTAATATTAGCATGTGATTTCACATGATGTATCAGTTAATCAGTCTTCTAAACCCTATAATGCCCCTAATTTCTGTCGTCCTTTAGCCCAGTTCTTCCTTCCCATGGATGAGTTTCTCAGCTCATTTCTGGCCTGTTGGTAGTCATCCATTTTCTGATCAAGGTAGCAGCTGTATCTTTGTTGTCTCAAGAAGTGTCATGTGGGGTTATATGCAGTTGTTGTGTCAGTGATGTCCACTGACATTTGTGCATCCTGTGTGGATAATAGTGTGCTGTAGCTGTCACTGAGCATAACCTACAAGGAAAATGTCTGCAGTGCCAGAATCTGCTCTGTGCAGCAGCACTGCAAGCCTTGTCTTGATGTTTCACTGTGGCCTGAGAATTGTACAGAAACCATTTCCTTAGGTAACAAGTTACCTTGGTTTTCTGAAAGTGACTTTCTGTTGTCTTTATGCATAGATATGAGCTTGTCTTGGTATGCCGTTTAGGTTCTAAATCTCTCTTTCACAGTTGTGGGCAGTTCTCCATTTTTTTTCTATCAGGGAAATTTAATGTCAGTTGCCAGCATAAATAGTGTTTTCTTTTTTCCCTAACATTTTAGATTTTTTTTTTTTTCCATTTTAGATATTTAACAGGAAGTTTCTGGATCTCTGATTGCCCCAGAGTCATTGTGGGCATTCACCCGTTGATAGACATACACGCTACTTCCAAAATTTAGCTATTGTGAGTTGGGCTGCTGTAAACATGGCCATGCATGTGTCATTTAATGTGATGCCTTTAACTCATTTATGTAGAAACCAAGAAGGGGAATAGCAACATTGAATGGAATTTCTAGTTTTGGGTTTTTAAGGAATCTCCATACTGATTTCTATAGTGGTTGTATTTGTTTACATTCCTACCAACATGATAGAAGGGTTCCTTTTCCACAGCCTCTCCAGCATGTTATTATTTGATTTCTTGATAATGGCCAATCTTCTAGAGTCAGGCGGAACCTCAGTTTTTATTGTAGTTTGTTTAGTTTAGTGGCCAACAACTGTGTTTTTGTTGTAGTTTGGTGTTTGGAGACAGGGTCTCACTATGTAGTTTAGGCCAGTTTGAACTCACTGTATAACCCAAGTAGCCTCAAACTCTTGGCAATCCTTTCGCCTCAGTTTTGTGAGTACTGGGTTTACGGGCATGTGCCACCAGGCCCAGTGATACCTTCTGAATTCATGTAAAAATGTGAGTCTGTTCCTACTGGAAATCCTGTAGAATACACAGTTCATCTTTTAGGACTCCAGATTAGCCAAATCTTTGAAGGCCAGTCTGAGAGTATACAGTTAAAATAGTTTGAGCCCTTTTAGTTAAACCACTCTTTACTTTGTATACATCACTCTGTAACTACGCTTTCGGTTGTTCATTCAAGAAAAAACATACATTGCCATTGGGTGTGGGGACACATACGTGTGATCCTAGTACTCTTAAGAGCCTGACACAGGAGGATCACAAGTTTGAGCCCAGCCTAAGCAACCTAGTGACTTAGTGAGACGCTGTTTCAAAATTAAGAATTTTTTTAAAAGGGCTGAGTGTATAGCTTAGTGTGAAGACCCAGAATTCAGACACCAGTGACCCAGTAAGAAAAAAAAGAAAAAAGTATGTTGCTGCAAGCATGAGGTTTAACTTGGAGGAAGGAAAACACTCACCCACATGATTAACCAGAGGTGGTTACCATGGGAAGGAAATAGGTGGAGGATCAAAGTGCTGAAGTGCTGAAGTGGGTGAGAGCCACAGGGAGGTGATGGGAAGGGAAGGGAAAAGACCTGAGTTGTGGGTACTCCACCATGAAGGGGTGGAGAAGCAGAGGAGGGCCCAGCCAGCAAAAGAGACCACTGAAGGAAACAAAAAGAAAAGTGTGTGTGTTCCTTTACATGTGGGTCTCCACATCACACTGTCAGTCTTTCAAGAGCAGGAATAAGATTTTACTTAGCTTATATCCCTCTAAATTCACAAGTTCCCCTGCACATTTGGAGCTATGTTGTTTTTTGGTTTTTATTTTTTATCTGTTAAAGAACTCAAAGGCAACATGGTTTTGTACTGTCTTCTTTCTTTCCACAGCCTGTAAAGGTAAAACAAGATATACAGTGTTTGTAGTTAACTCTCTCAGTGAGCTTAAGAAGATCCCTTGTCCCTCTATACTTTTTCATGTGACCCAATTCCAGCTGTGGTGCCATTGCAGGGGCCAGTGTCTTTCAAGGATGTGGCTGTGGACTTCACCCAAGAGGAGTGGCAGCACCTGGACCCAGATGAGAAGACAACATACAGGGATGTGATGCTAGAGAACTACAACAACCTCATTTCTGTGGGTGAGGATAACTGACTACTTACCTACTTGCCTTCCTTTCTTTGTTCCTTTTTTTTAGGTTGGTTTGGTTTGGTTTGGTTTGGTTTGGTTTGGTTTTGAATAAAGATTTTGCTGTATAGTTCAGACTGGCCTTGAACTCAACTTATGTACCCCAGGCTGGCCTCAAACTCATTGTAATCTTCCTGCCTCAGCCTCCTGACTGCTGAGATTACAGGTGTGTGCCAGCACACCCAACTTCTTTCTTTTTTTCTCTGTTTCAGTTTGGTTTGGGTTTTTATCTGAGACAGGGTTTCACTGTATATCCCAGACTGGCCTCAAACTCACAATGATCTTCCTGCCTCAGCCTCTGGAGTGCTGGGATTATAAGTGTGCACCACCACATGCACTGATAGCTTGCTTTCTGAACACTTTTTTGTTTGTCTTTTTGAGACAGGCTCACTGTGCAGTTCAGACTGGCCTTGAGCTCACTTTGTAACCCAGGCTGGTCTCAAACTTGGCAATGATCCTCCTGAGTGCTGGGATTACAGGTGTGCGCCACCACACCCGGCCTGAAAACTTTCAGTTTATGATTTTGTTCTTGACTTGGAATAAGCAAGTGATAAGACCTTTTAGTTCCTTTTGGTTTTATGTTGAATGTTTGTATCTTCTCCATTGAAAGGTTTTAATTTTGTTAAGGTAAAAACTGGCAAAGATAAAAACTGGTGTACTTTATTATGCAGCCTCTGGGGAAGCATCCTCCTCTGCTGCAGAGATTTTGTAGTCAGCCAGCTAGTCCAAGTCCTTGTCCATTTCTGGTTAACAGGGTATGATGTTACCAAACCCAGTGTGATCATTAAATTGGAGCAGGGGGAGGAGCCATGGACAATAGAAGGTGACTTCTCTCACACTTACCCAGGTGAGTGAATATAAATATCAAAAGTTTTGGCCTTCCAAGTTAATACTGTAGGGGCAACTTTAGAAATTTCACATTTAAGATTTTTCACCAAATGAAAAAAAGGAGATTGGAAACCCTCATTTGTATTCAGAATTCAGAAAAAGTATTATGATAGGGACATGACTAATTTTAGGAAATCTAATCAGCAAATTGAAAGAAAATTACTGATTGTACTATTTTTGTCAAACTTCCGTGCTCTGTGGAGCTGTCTCACTAAATATGAGGAAATTTGAGCTTTTTAGAATGTTTATTTGGATGTATGTGCAGAGTAGAAAATCAGTGGTTTCGGAATGGCCTCGTTTGGCAGTCTTGTTGATATGAAATGATATGTTAGCAATTGAATATGAATTGCTCTCTGTTTATACCAAGTGTAATCCATACTTGAATATCCTTTTGCATGTACACGCAGTAATTATTCTTGTTCTTGCATGGACCCCTTTTGCTCTGAGTCTTCTTGTTTCTGCCTGGATCTAGCACTTACTCAGTGGGTTTATTTCACCTTGTCTACCAAAGTTTTGAATATAATATTTGTATTGTAACAGAGGTAATTGCATTCAGTATGAATTCAGTTTTCCTTTTTCCACTACTACTGAGTCCCATACCCATACTTCCCCACCTCCCTCTGTTCCTGTGTGTGTGTTTTGTATTACAAGTTAAAGGGAAAAAAAACTAACGCACTCAATTTATTTTTTATTTGTGGATATTGGCCCCAGAGTCAGTGTTGGCCCCACAAATAAGATACTTAAGTACCACACCCATTCTGTAGCCTCTGTGTCCAGGTTCATGAGGTTTGTTTAATTTTTTTCTTTTCAGAAGTATGGAAGGTTGATGACCTGATTGAGAGAATCCAAGCAAATGAAGACAAACATATAAGGCAAGCTATTGATATCCATAGCCAAACCTTCCTGGAGGAGCAAAAGGATGCATTTGATAAAATTTATTATGTGGAAACAAATCTTGTTCCTTCAGGTATAATAGCTCACAGATGTGTCTCCTGTGGGAAGAAGTTAGAATCTGTTTCAGAATTAATCAGTAGTGATGGAAGCTATGCAAAAAAGAAACTTGATATATGTAATGAATGTGAGCAAATTTGTCATGGAGAGGACCTTTGTGAGTTTAATCAGAGTGAGGACACCTCTTCTCAAAGTGAAGAAAGTATTCTGCAGAAAATTAATGATTTGGAGAAGCCCTTTGACTATGAGTGCGTGGAAGCCTTAGATGGTGAAGCTGTTTTCATTGCTCATCATGAAGGAGCATATATGGGGGAAAAGGCTTATGAGTGGAATGATTCTGAGGCAGACTTCATCCAGGTTTCAACCTTTGATGCCTATCAGAGATCACAGATAGAAATGAAGCCGTTTGAGTGCACAGAATGTGGAAAGTCCTTTTGCAAAAAGTCCAAATTCATCATTCATCAGAGGGCCCACACAGGAGAGAAACCCTATGAGTGTAATGTGTGTGGGAAGTCCTTTAGTCAGAAGGGAACACTCACTGTACATCGGAGATCACACTTGGAAGAGAAGCCCTATAAATGTACTGAGTGTGGGAAAACTTTCTGTCAGAAGTTACACCTCACGCAGCATGTGAGAACTCACTCAGGAGAGAAGCCTTATGAATGTAGTGAGTGTGGGAAAACCTTCTGCCAGAAGACACATCTCACCTTACACCAGAGAAACCACTCAGGAGAGAGACCCTATCCATGTAATGAGTGTGGGAAATCCTTCTCACGCAAGTCAGCCCTCAGTGACCATCAGAGAACCCACACAGGCGAGAAGCTTTATAAGTGTAATGAGTGTGGGAAATCTTACTACCGAAAGTCTACCCTTATTACTCACCAGAGAACACACACAGGAGAGAAGCCCTATCAATGTAGTGAATGCGGCAAATTCTTTTCGAGGGTGTCATACCTCACTATACATTATAGGAGTCACTTAGAAGAGAAGCCTTATGAGTGTACTGAATGTGGCAAAACTTTCAATTTAAATTCAGCCTTCATCAGGCATCGGAAGGTACATGCAGAAGAAAAACTACATGAGTGTGGTGAATGTGGGAAATTCTCTCAGTCTCCATATCTCACTGACAATGATACAACCCACATAGGAGAGAAGCCCTATGAATGTAATGAGTGTGGGAAAACTGTCCTTGAAAATTCATCCTTTAATGGACACCAGCCCCTTCCAGAAGAGGAGAAAACCTATGAATGTAATATATGTGGAAAATCCTTCTCTGAGTTGACTACCTACACTGTACATTACAGAGGACATGCTGAAGAGAAGCCCTTTGGATGTAATGAGTGTGGGAAAACTTTCTCCCATAATTCATCCCTCTTTAGACATCAGAGAGTACACACTGGTGAGAAGCCCTATGAATGTTATGAATGTGGCAAATTCTTCTCCCAGAAGTCCTATCTCACAATTCATCATCGGATCCATTCAGGAGAGAAACCGTATGAATGTAGCAAGTGTGGGAAAGTCTTTTCTCGGATGTCAAACCTCACCGTACACTATAGAAGCCATTCAGGAGAAAAACCCTATGAATGTAATGAATGTGGGAAGGTCTTTTCTCAGAAATCATACCTCACTGTACATTACAGAACTCATTCAGGAGAGAAACCCTATGAATGTAATGATTGTGGGAAAAAGTTCCACCACAGATCAGCCTTCAATAGCCATCAGAGAATTCATAAAAGAGGCAATATGAATGTACTCAATGTCGAGAATCCCTGAAGTCAAATCTCAGTTTTTTAGAAAAACTCGTGACCATACAAATACAGGAAATTCGGTAGGGAGCCTAATATTGTTCATTTCACCATTCATCCTCCTGAATGAGGAAGTTTTGAATTGTTAGATCCATTTTAATGTGATTTTTCAGAGAAGAATCTCTACAGTACACCCAAGTAGCAGAGCCTTCAAGAAGACCATGTTAAAAAAAAAAAAAAAAGACGATGTAACTCATAGGACACTAGATAATTTATGCAGGTGTGAAACTTTATAAATATTTATTTTAGGTTCAGGTTGTATATACCTATCAGGGAATTATTCTAAGAAGAAATCTGTCAATATGATGAATGTGGAAAACATACTGTCTTGATAATTGTTTTGCTAAAAGCCATATTTCTAATGTGAAAACAAATGTTTATAGGAAAGATACCAGAAACTACCAGTTCTGAATAAACTTCCATTTTATAAAACGAAGTTTTAAAATCATGAAGAGTTGATGTGAGAACTGTAGCATTAAACTGCATTTCTTATGTTTTTCAAAGCAATCTAATGGTAATTCTATGCACTTCTAGTCAAGTTAGTATTTGAATAATTTGTGAAAAGACTGTTTTACTTGAGTATTGGACGGCAAAACGTACTAAGGAATATGTTGTTGGTGGGATATTTGATAGTTATATAATGGTAAAGTATGTAATTTTCAGTTCTTTAGAGGAATTTACTACAAGTTCATTTTTAGAGAATGCCTCATCAGTAGAGGAATGATTTTCAACTTGAGCAAAAAAAGGATTTTTAAAAATATTTTGATAAAGAGTGCACACATGATTTGGGATTGTCTGTTTTAGAAAGAACTAGTGCTACATGTACTGTCCTGCTCTAAAGTATCCCCAGTTCTTTACCTCTCTGGGTTTTTGATCTATAGAATTGAGTACATAGAATGTCAGTATTATGTAATTGACACATTTTATCTGAATTTTTGTGTGACATAGGTACGGCTGCCATTTTATTGCCCCTTATTCTCAGTACTTTTGAACAAATCAGTATAAGTTTCTAGCACACATTTTCTGGTTGATTGACTTAATGTCGCCCCTTCATTCCTGAGAATGAGAATCTCTGCTATACCTACTACCTACCCTTTTCACTTGATTCTGTAAATCCTAATGAGTTTACACCAATGATCCATTATATTGCCAGTACAGTAGCACCCTGTTCTCCACAGGACATCTGTTCCAAGGCCCCCGGTGGATGCCTGAGATGGCCAATAGCTCCATCCCTCCATGTGCAGTAGTACTACAGCAGTCCTTTTGAATACATAGTTGTTGTGTCACAGGCAGGTAGCAGGTACAGCAGAGGTACACTGGACAAAAGAATGATTCATTTCCCAGGCAGGATATGTGGGATTTCATCACACTAATTAGAATTGTGCACATGTTGAAACTTAGCACCTATTTCTGACATTTCCCATTTAATGCTTTTGGACTGGCTAACCCCATATAACTGAAAATGTGCAAAGTGAAACCTAGGATAAGGGGCTTATTGTAACTTGTTTATAATGGCCATATGACCCAGTCCTTTGCAAACAAAACAAACAGGTTTATTCTTGGAAATGGGTAAACTGGTGATCAGTGGGTCTTACGCCAAGAATGCAAGAGTGGTTAAATATGACTTTAAGAAGTCAACCACTGTCAGTCACATGAAGGTGATTTGATACGCAGAAAACTCATACAATTAATGTCCATTTATAACCTTAGCAAATGTGAGTAGAAAGGAACTTCCTTAATTGGACAAAGAGTAACTTAAACTATAACAAACAATATGCTTTATGGTGAAATATGAAAGTTTGCCCTCATGATAAAAAGTCAAGGATAAGCCGGGCGTGGTGGCGCACACCTGTAATCCCAGCACTCGGGAGGCTGAGGCAGGAGGATTGTTGAGAGTTCGAGACCAGCCTGAGCTACAAAGTGAGCTCAAAGCCAGCCTGAACTTCATAGCGATACCCTGCCTCAAAAAGACAAAAAACAAAGTCAAGGCTATCTTCTATGATGAATTTTGTACAATGTTGTACAGAACGACTTAGCCAGAAAATTTATTTTACGTATATATATAATATTCTGAGGAATATTCAGATAATAATTAGCAAATTAAGGTCCTTGTATATAAGATTATTTTTTGCAAAAGTTTTTTTTTTTTTTTCATTATACCATCAAAAAAAAATCAGTTTTTTTCAAGTAGCTAGGGAACAATTCAACAATTTTCAAGAGATCCAGAAAAACTAAGAATTACAACATGGAGGGATGTTTCTTTATGCATTTCAGGACAAACTCCAAACAATGTCAGTTTTCCCTAAATTAACTCATATATTGAGAGCAATCTTTTCCTGTTTGGTTTTGTTTTTATGGTACTGGAGATTGAATGCAGGACCTTGAACATGCTAGAGAAGCATTGTGGTGCTGATCTATACCCCTACCCCTTTATTGTAATTTTTTTAGACAGCCTCACTGAGTTGTTGAGGCTGGCCCCAAACTTGAGACTCTCCTGCTTCAGCCTCCTGAGATGGTATGTATACACCATCACACACCACTCAATACAACCATAACCATAGTGAGTTTTTGAATGGAAATTTACAAATTAAATCTACAGTTGATATGAATAGTCAAAAGGCCAGTAATACAGTCAAAGCTGTCTTGTAAAAGAGCTGTATAATTTCTATTTGCAGGTATCAAGACTGGTTATAAATCTATAGAAATTATGATGTGATACGGGCACAAAGATAAAAGTGACTAGTGAAGGAATACAGAAGTTCTGGAAATAGACACACACGTGGTCACTGACCAAACAAGAGTGAGGGTGAAGTGCGACGGGGGAAAGGACACTCTTTCCCTTTGTCATAACTTGGCAACTTCATAACAGCGTAAGTGAAGTTTTCTTAAGATGTAAAAATCTAAAGTGTAAGATCAAAATTAGTTAATTTGGCCATACAAACTTGAAGAACTTTTATGAGAAAGACATTAAGAAAGCAAGTGGACGGCAGATAGGGTGGAGATAAAAGCATCCGTGAACTCAGAAGCCAGATGGTAAATATTTGGGGCTTTGTTTTGCAGCCACCCAACTTTGCCGTTGTATGAAAACAGCCAAATGTGACACATAAATGAATCTCATCTCAGTTTTTTGTTTGCTGTGCTGAGAGTTGAACCCAGGGCCTTCACACTGATGCACATCCTCAGCCCTTTTTGCCTGAGACTGACTAAATTGCCCAAGCTGGGCTCAAACTTGAAATCGTCCTGCCTCACCCTCCCATAGTGTTGGGATTACATGTGTACACCACCATGCCCAACCATGGCACATAGATGAATGTGACCGTTTCCCAACAAAGCTTTATTCACAAACATGGATGTAGCTTGCAGCCTATAATTTTCTAGTGTTTGGTCTAGCATATATAAAGTATACCTGCAGATCAACGAGAGGAATGGGACAAAAGACTTCACCACCCTCTTCGCAAATGATAACCAAAATGGCCAATAAGCACAAAAAGATGTGTTGGATTTAGTAGTATTCAGGGAAATGCAAATTCAAAACAGGACTGCTACCGATCCACAGATGGTTAAAATGGAGGCATGAGAAGCAAGTCTGGGCAAGAATGTAAGCAACAGGAACTCTTAGTGTGTTACCAACTAGCACGATCTTTTTGTAAAATTGGCACATGTGTGCTATTCAACAAAAACGGGCAAAAAACTATCTTGGGGCATGTAGAGTGAATAAATGCATGTGGTATTTGCGTACGCGCATGCTGTAGAGCGCTGAGTATGAGTGAACTATAAGCCCGTGTAGTAACAGCTGAATTTCACCATGTTGAATGAAGGAGTGCAGACAGAAGCAAGCGTGCTGTGTGCTTCTATGTGGAGGACAAGGATGGGCAAAACTTGTCTGTGCTATTAGAAATGGTTAAGCATTTATCCTTGGCCAGTGCTTAAAAGGGTTATCTATCTGGTGCTGGTAATAATGTGTTTTGAAATTGGGTGCTGAGTATGTTTTGACCTGTATTCCTAAAATGTGTATTTTTCTGCATGTATATTACACTTGGATAAAAGTTTCTAAAATCAAATGCTAACACTTGCTCAGCACTCAACATATTTTTCTAGGTACAGTATATATAAATGGCAGATCTTTCATAACCAACAATATATACTCTTCATAATAGTTTTAATGGCAACTACTATGATTTCCTACACTGTCCTTAAAGCTGATCGTTACATATGTATATATTTTTGTTTTGTTTTTTTCCTGTACCAGGAATCAAACTCACGACCTTGCATTTGCCAGGCAGGTGCTGTGCCGCTGAGCTAAATCCCCAGCCCCTGTTACATATATTTTAAGTAAAATACTTGAAAGTGTTAAGGCTCCTACATACTCTGTCATCCCAGACTCTTGCATATATAAATGGGTGTGACACATATCAGTGGTTTTGAGCTTCCTCTTAAATAAAAAGCTGAGTAAACTCTTCACATTTTGTCAAATTGTTTTCACATTTCTGAATTTGAGGTACATCTTAAGCATTGCCATAAAGATAACATTTCTGTAGGATAAATACAGTGCTAAATTTGATTTGATGAAAACTTACATTTAAAAGGTGTTCACTTGATTATTTCAGCAAATGTAATATACAGAAGATATTTGGCTTGGTTTGGTTTGGTCTGGTGATACTGGGGATTGAACCCAGAGCCTTTGCACTGAGCTACATCCCCAAACCATTCTACTTTTGTTTTGAGACAAGGTCTTGCTAAGTCTCAAAATTGCCCAGCTGGTCTTGAACTTGGCATACTCCTGTCTCAGCCTCCCACGGTGGTTGCAAGTGTGTGCCACCATACCTAGCCTGTAATAGTTTTTAACAGCACAAATACGACTGCACCCATAAAAATATACGACTGCACTTGCGGAGAGGCTGACTAAGCTTGTAAGGGCACAGAAAGGGCAAAACTTTTGACGGAGTGGACTGTGCTTTTTTTTGTATTTTGCTATTATTGTGGATTAAGCTTGAAGTGTGGACAGATCTATAATGCCTTCTTTGCACTGTGACTTGGAGATGTGACTCCCCCACACCGAGGGTGGACGTTCTCTGTCCTCTGTTGCCCAGTGCTCTGTGCTTCCCGCACATCTCGGACACCTGCTCCCTGCGTTGCGAGGTCGCCTCTACCCAACCCCATATTACTCATTTAGACTCAGTTAACTTCAGCTGCTCCAAAATATGCAGAAGACATTAATGCAAGATGACAAATCTGGGGCCAGAAGTTCACTCACTAGTCCTTGTTCCATTGCAAATTACACTGGGACCCAGGGAAAACAGGCTCCTCAAAACCTGTGAGAGCAAAGTAGTGTTACAATATTCCCAAGGTAAGTTTTGTCAAGGCCTCAAAAATGTGGAAATTAAACCCTTGTGGTTTCTATCAAATTGGTGACCTTTTAAATCATAGGTTTGAGGGCAAAGGGTGTGGAGTGAAAATAATGTCAAAAATCCTCTGAGGGAAGGAAGCAGGGGGCTTTCTGTGGAGGAAGATGTAGTGCAAATATGGTCGAGCCAACTTTCAGAATGATTTCTCTGCACCTTGTGTCCCAGTCACATCATTCTCCGACCTGCTGACACGATGGAACAGGAACTCAGCAGCTCGGTCTGACCAGGACGAGAGCAAATAAGTGCAGGCAGGGCAGTGTTCCTGGGTGGTTCCTCCAGGATCTAAGAGCTAAGCTTTCACCGGACAGAGGAAGGGGGGTGGGGAGGCCCTGAGAATGCTGGGGTCACCAGAAGGCCGGCGAACAGAAGCCGGAGCTTAAGTGGCTGGGGATATAGCTCAGTGGAAAAGTATTGGGTTCAATTCTCAGTACCACCAATAAATAAATACCCAAAGGTTTAGCTCCTAAAACATAAAATTTACAATGTCTGGCTTCCAATAAAAAGCATTTCTGCCAAGCATAGAAAAAACAGGAAAAAAAAAAACAGGCAGGTGGCACACGCCAGTAATCCCAGCACTTACAAGGCTGAGGCAGGAGGATTGCCATGAATTCGAGGACAGCCTGGACTACGTAGTGAGACCCTGTCTCAAAATCAAACACAACACAACCTACAATGAAAAAAAAACAATGGCATCCATCATCTATGATAGAATCAGAAGATAAGGACATTAAAGCCGCTGAATATATTCCCTAATATTCAAGAAGAGTGAAGAATGGTTAGCAAGAGGGACCTCAAAGGATTACCCTGGAGGTGAAAAGCTCACACTAGACAGGAGAGGAAGGTGGAGCAGGTTGCAGGAGCAAGCTAACAGAGAGAGACCAGGGCGCTGGGGCAGTAGTTTTGATGCAGAGATGGACTGGGCTCTGGGATAAGGTTTAAAGGGTGTGGAGAGGACGTGGGGGCATGGCCATTTGTAGGAGACGTGTTGTGACCATTGGTGGGCGAAGCGTGGCTTGGGCTCCAGATGCCTGGCCAGGAGGTGGGGCGTAGTGTGGGCTCAAGAACGTGACAAGGTCGTTGAAGCATAACTCAGGCTTTAGGGGCGTGACTGGAACACGGCGTGGCTAGGGCTCAAGGGGCGTGAGGGATGTAGGGCTACGCTTGGCCCCGGAGGCGTGGCTGGGTAGAGCGTGTGGCTGGCCTCGGGGGCGTGGCAAGAATGTGGGGGCGTGGTTCTGGCTCGGGTGTAGTCACAAGTGGGGCGTGGCTTGTCCTGGGGGCGTGGCTCGAGGAGGCTGCGGCTCTGTCCACCTCCAGGACGTAACCGTCTGTGGCTAACAGTCCTTGAGCCGGAGGAGGCCGTTGCCTGGACCCTGGGCTGACTCGGCACCTCTCTGAAGTGAGCCGCCAGGCCTCTGAGGACAAGGGTGGGTGGAGGATACCAGAGCGGGCAGTGGGCGGGGCGGGGCCTCTGACACTCCCCTACCCCCTCCAGGTCCTCTACACGCCATGTGGCCGCGGCTGGCCCTACTCCTCCTCCTGCAGCTCCAGGCCGCCCGGGGCGCACCCGTCCCGGCCGCCGGCCTCAAGGAAAGCCTCAAGAGCCCGCCGCAAGGTTTCAGCGGTCCCCCGTGGGAAGAGGAGACAGGAGAGGATATCAGTAGCCCACAGAGAGTGAGCAGGATGCAGGGATGGACGGGGAGGGAGAGGGAAGATACCAAGGACAGAACTCAGACGTGTGGGAGCGGGGCGTGGTGGCGCGTGTCTGTAATCCCAGCGCACTGGGAGGATGAGGCAGGAGCGTCGCAAGTTCAAGCTCAGCCCAGGCAACTTTCGAGACCCTGTTTCAGAATTTTTAAAAGTATATATATATAATGGGGGCAGGAGGTGGGAACGGAGTCCTTTGCTACAGCCATAGATTCAATCCCCAGTTCTGAAAAAGGGATGTCGGGTGGCAGGACGTGGGGTGGGCTGGAGGGGCGCACTGGCTTCGAGGTTGGCCACCCATCGGCCTCCTCTGAACCTCGGGAGGACGGGGTCAGCTCGCTCGCTCGCTCTCTGCCGGGGTGAACTTCTGTGGGTCCACAAGTGCAGCGACAGCGCAGAGAACCTGGGTCCCTGACTTGGGAACTGTAGCCCGCACGAGGAAGGACAGCTCATCCCTTTTCACCAGGGGCCCAACCTGGAGGAGACACAGGCCTGTAGGTGGCCGCAGTCCCGCGCCTGGGCTCCCGCTCTCCTGACTCCGGAGGGGGCTGCTCCAGAGGTGCAGCCCCGAAGCCCCGAAGGAGGACCGTGAAGGGCATCGAGGGTCACAGGCCGTCCTGGGCGGGCTTCTCAGGAGGCCACCAGGCGGGGGACCTGGGACTCTTCCCCCGCACTCCCCAGCCTCCCTTCCTGTCTCTTCCCGGTCCCAGCAGCTGCTGGAGGGGCTGGGCATGGCCACAGACGTGAGTCCTCCTAACCCTGCCCCCAGAACCATCTGGAAATAAAGTCCTTTCTTGCAGTCTAGCAGTGCTGTTTCCTTTGGGATCCGCACCCAGAGCCCTGCCAACCTCCCAGCGCCTTACCTGACCCCAGCCCCAACTCTGACAGTCCCATTCAGCCCTCGGCCCCTGACTCTCATCTCTGAATGCTGCAGCTGGTAGCTGACACTGCTTCCCTGGGAAGAGGGACCTGCCTGTCACCCAGGACCTCAGAAGAGTGTGCTGAGTGGTACAGAGCAGAAGTTTCTAATCCTCCTGGCTGGGTCCTGAAACCTGTCCTGCCTGAGCTCCTGGCTCTATCCTCTCTGACAGCACACTCAGAGTCCCAGCCCTTGCTACTTTCAGTGTCAGCAACTTAAAAATTCTAAGCCCAGTTGTTTCTTTAAAAGTTAAACATGTTGGTTGGCCATGGTGCTGCTCACCTGTAATCCCAGCACTGTGGGAGGCTGAGGCAAGAAGATCACAAGTTCAAACCCAGCCTGGGCAACTTAGTAACTTAGACCCTGTCTCAAAAGTTTAAAAACTGAAAAAGGGCAGCGTGAAGACTCTGGGTTCAATCCCCAGGACTGAAAGAAATATATGAACACACACATACTCTGGGCCAACTATTCCACACCTAGGTTCTACCCAGCAGAAATGAAAGTGTATCTGTACATACAGGCTTATAACAGTCCAGTCGATCCAAATATCAACAGGCAACACAGACAAATGGTGATATATCCTTGCAATAGAATATTAATCAAAAAAGAAGAATCATCGATCAATACACAAACTAGCATAATGCATCTCCAAAGCTTTATCCTGGGAAAAAAAAAAAACAAATAAAAAAGACTACACGTAACTCCATCTCTAATGAGATCCTAGAAGCAGCAAGGCAAGTGTCTCGTACTAGAAGATGAGCGGCTTCCCCCGGCACAGGAGTGAGGGTGGGATGGTCAAGGGGTACAAAGAAGCCAGGGCGGAGGCTGTTCATTTCCTGGGTGTGTCAGTCATTTCATAGGTGTACACGGCACGATAGAAAATACGGTGAACATTTGATTTCTTTTTAAATTTTATTGCAGTAAGAGACACATTGCCATGAATCACCCTCAAAATCTCCCCCATCACTTTGAGCACACTCACTCCATTGCTCCTGCCACTTTTCTGGAGCAGCTCTGCAAGTCTTCTTTCATGAGTGTCGATAGTTGCACTGTTGTGCAACTCCTCGATGCCCTGAGTTGATTCAAAATGTTTTCCTTTCATGGTCATTTTGACCTTGGGGAAGACCCAGAAGTCACGCAGTGGTAGGTTCATGAGCAAGGTAGGTGAGACACACTCCCACGGTTTTTAAAACAAGAAAGAGGACTCCCAGAATGCTTCAGAAAGCAGCAAGAACCATGGGATAAGTTTGAAGCAAGGGGGGAGTATTTTGATGGAGATTGATGGCAATATGTCTTTTACTGTAATAAATTTTTACAACTTTGAACACACTATTTTTTTCTTTCAATTTCTTATGAGTACATATTTATAGTACACACTGATTATATTCCTTTTTGGGAGTTGTGACATGGACATAACACACCTTAATTCTTTTTTATCTCTTTCCCCTTCTGCCCTCTCCCCTCCCTCCATCTCTTAGTCCCCTTCCCTTTGCAAAAATCTACCTCCCTATTTCTTGTTATCTTTTATTTTGCTCTATATTTTGAGTTTCTCACATAAAAGAAACCGGGTGATATTTAAGGTTGTGTGTTTGATTTGTTTCACTTATGGTCTCAAGATCCATCCATTTTCGTACAAATGACTCAAGTTTATCCTTCTTTATGGCAGAGTAGTACTCCATTGTTGGTAAATACCACATTTTCTTTGCCGTTCATGTGTTGGTGGACATATAGGCCACTTTCAAGGTTTAGCTGTTAGGAGTTGTGCTGCTATAAACATGAGTATGCACGCATCACTGTACTATGATGCGTTTAATGCTTTGGGGAAGATATCTAGAAGGGATTAGCTGGGTTGAATGGAATTTCTAGTTGTCAAAATTTTTATTTTGTTTTATTTGTTTGTTTGCTTTTAGGAATCTCCATGCTGATTTCCATAGTAGTTATACTTGTTCACATTCCTAGCAGCAATGTAGAAGGCTCCCTTTTCCCCCCGCAGCCTCACCAGTATTTGTTATTATTTTGATTTTTTGATGATAGTTATTGTTCCTGGGGTGAGATGAAATCTCAGTGTTTTAATTTGTATTCAGCTAATGCCAGAGATTTTGAGCATCTTTTCATGCATGTACTGGCCATTTGTACTTCACTCCTGAAAAGTGTTTTTATTTCAGTTACTTATTTTTTGGTCAGGTCTTTTATTTTGGTTCTATTTTTTTTTTAGTTATTTATTTACTCTAGATATTAGTCCTCTGTCCAAGGGATAGCACAAATTTTGCCCATTCTGTAGGCTGTCTCCTTGCTACGATGGTGTTTCCTTTGCTGTGTAGAAGGTTTTAATTTGATATGACCCTTTGTTGTTCTTCATGTTATTTCTTGTGCAACTAGGGAATCTATTCAGAAAGAATAGATTGTATTCTATTGTATTCTAATATTGTATTCTAATGTATTAAATTCTAATATATTCTAATGTATTCAATATATGGTATTCTAATGTACTATTATAAACCTTATCTACACACACTTATGGTGTTTTACCTATTTTACCTCCCAGTCAATTATTTTTGCTTTAGCGCACGGGGAGCCTCGGGCGGGGAGCGCCGGTTTTCAGATCGGAGACTCACTCCCGGCCTCCTGGTTCCCCAGAAGGATGCTTCTGGCGCACGGGGAGCTGTGGGCGGGGAGCGCCAGCCTTCTGGCTGGCTAGCTTCCTGCCTGCTGGCTCCTGGAGGGTGGACCCCCAGCACACGGGGAGCCATGCGGCGGTGAGTGCTATTGCATGCCGGCCCTTAGGCCGGCCGCCGCAGCTCAATTGGAATCTATCGTGACCCAGAGAAACAGTGACACAATTGGCCCATCATGCACCGACTGCAGTTGCCCACCCACGGATGTGTGTAAATCATTGAA